AGTAACTCGGGACAGAGGGAGCAACAGATAGTAGGAAAAGCAAAGATGAAATAAAAAACCTATGAGCACGCCCGAGGGAGAGAAAGGGGGTCGAGGGGGTGGGGTAAGACTATACCTGAAGGATCGATTGGAGTTACTAGTCAAAGCAGGTTTATCGGCGCTGACATCTCCAGTGATAACTACTCGAGTGGTTGCAATTGCATCAATACCTTCTGTGACCGAAGTCATGCTATATTCTCTAAGGACAGTTGGAATCTGCATATGGTAAGGTAACTAAGTCATATCTCCTATTTTAAGCAAAAACAATAATCTGTAAAACAAAGGGACACGACACATTAGATCAAACCCTAATTCTGTGCAGAACATTTCTCCAAATTGGTAGGGCCATGTTGTGCTCGTGGAATTCAGTGTATTATTTCTGGGCAATTTGCCCCATCTAGGAAGGAGTATGACTTTGGTGGTGAATTAGAAGATGGATTAAGTGAAAGAAGAATGCCGGTTTACACATGTAAGATGATTACATCATTTTGGTTACACCAGTTTTTTTCGCAGTTAACATGAATACCAAAAGTAAACCCATTATTTGTAAGGTGCAGAAATTCTCAAGGCAAAGAAAGATGGTCTTTAAAATTTTCTTTACTGATGACACCTTTCAATAACATAAACATCACAGCATTAAAATGGACCTACAGTAAAATGGACACCTTTCAGTAAAATTTTCTTTTACTGATGACACCTTTCAGTAACATAAACATCACAGCATTAAAATGGACCTACAGTTATCACAAACTGATACTCCGTTCTTTCTCAAGCTACCAACCAAAATATGTACCAGTCAAGAAGCTAGCTATCGGTGTTGTAAAAAACAAAAGAAGATGCTATTGACCATTATCATAATCATTACGATGGTTCTAAGTTACAAGAATATATATAGGTAATCTTATTTACAAATTACTCCCTCCATCCCATAATATAATAGCGTTTTTGACACTACTGTAGTGTCGAAAACACTCTTATATTATGGGACAGAGGGAGTAGTGTTTATGCATTCTATTGAAAGTAGTTCTGAGAGTGGGACATTGCTCGCCAATAATTGTCTTCCGATGCAATGAATTTAAAAAACGTAAAAATGGTAATAAGCTACATTATGAACATAAAAAGGTTTTCTTTATCATACTGAAAGTACTCTTGACATATCTAAAAATAATACAGTAGAAGAAATAATGTAGTCTTTTACTACAAGAAAGATGAAAATAGCAACAGCTAACCTGTATTATTTGGTCAACAGCCTTGTATGCTGCATCAACTGGGCCAGTTCCAACAGAACATCCTATCTTTTCCTCTCCGTCTATAGTTATCAATTTGACAGTTGCTGTAGATAAACCAAGCGTTCCACATGTTGCCTGCAGAGGTGACACACAACCGTAAGGTAATAGTTCAACTTCATTTACGAAAAAGGAGTCCACTGAAGCTCAATTATACCTGTACATCACCAAGGGACCAAATAACCTTAGGCTGAAATATCTCATCAGACAATAAAGCTTCTATGTCTTCATCAGTTACACGCTACAAAAAAAGAAAGTTTGTACATATTAGAGAGAAACAATGCATTGAGAAAGCAAGCTCCTAATGAGTAATACGTAATAGATAGAAAAAAATAACGTAAGGCTTCCATGAAAACATGCAAAGGGAATGCTTTATAAAAATTAAAACAAGTAGGTATCAATCAATGCCATGACGTCGCCGTGCTTTACTTTTTAGACAGAGAAGAATAAAATGTATATCACTGAACATAAAACGAGTACTCCAGAAAATTATCACCTTCTTTTTCTCTGCAACCTCTTTGTAGCGTTTAAAGAAATCCTCAAATTCTTTGTCATTGATTTCATATCCAAGCTACATATTTGTACATCAAGGATGTCAATTTGGTAACAAAAAATGAAAGACAAATATGTTGCGTTAACTAGAAAATGCAACCAAATTAACCAAGAAATACCTCCACTAGTTTGGTTCTGACGGCATGCCTTCCACTGAAACAGAAGACCACAAATTGCAATTAAGGTTCAGAATCTTAAATTTGACCTAAACTACCATTGAATGTTTATCTAAATGTATTTGAGCAGGATTGCCATATTAAATTAAGCTAGTTTAGAAGCTAACAGATGACACATAATTTGGCTTATGCTTTTCTAGAAGAGTAATAAATATGATAAATAGTAGTATGCTATATAAATAAATAAAACATGTAACTATAGGTTTCCTGCATATCAAATGATTTAGGATGAGCTTCAAGAATGAAGCAATGAACATGCAAGTCCCCTACCTAGGAAGGATAGGCTGAATGTTCCTTATATTATAATAAAGAGTAGGTGAATCAACTTACTAATTAAAAAAAATTAGCAGAATTTCCTCTTTGGAATAGAAATTGGCTATTTCTACATAGGGAAGTCAGTCATAGCATAAAAGTACAAGTAAATAATTTAGCTTGTCAGTTGTCACCCCAGAAGAGTGTACATAACACCCTTCTAAATTATCAATTGTACTTGTGGTCTACCCATACATGTCTAAGAATTTGGTAGTAATCACATTATGTACATATTAAATATCTAATTATCTAAGCATTTGGAACAACAGTGATACGCCATATCATGATAGTAGAAAGCTCAAGAGAGAGAAGAAAAATATAGATGCACATATAGGAATTATGTAGAATGGCTATGGGGCCAAGATACATTTCCATGGTACCTGAGCTTCCCAAGAACAATACCAAACTCATTTGCACGTGTTAAACCAATATCATCAGGCGATATTATCTCATAAGTTCCTTTAAATTTAAGCATCCCATCCTGCACCCACACACAAAAAAAAAATTAAACAGTTAACATGGAAACAGCAAAAATATTTGAATACCATCATCTGTGAATCAACGTATATCGTTAAGTGGCACATGGTAACCACGAAAAGACAGCAAAGACAAATGCTTACATGCTATGAAAGCGAAAACTACTCATTACTACTCCCTCCGTAAAGAATTATAAGAGCGTTTAGATCACTAGAGTAGTGATCTAAATGCTCTTATATTTCTTTACAGAGGGTGTACTAAAACCCCAATTGGGAACTTGCATAGTAATACAAACAAAAGAGACTGCAAATCTGGTTACCTGATGAATTCCACTTTCATGAGCAAAGGCATTGGCACCAACAATAGCTTTATGCGGCTGTACATGAAGTCCACTGTGCTCTTGTACCTAAAACAATTACAGAATTTGCATAAGCTCAAATTGCCTGGGAAAAAATAAGTACAAAGAATAAAAGAAAATAAGACAAGAGACATCAATACCATTTTGCTTGTCATGGTAATATGTTGCGAATTAATTCCAGTATATAATCCACCTAAAAGTTCTCGTCGACATTTGATTGCCATGACAACCTGAAAAGGGGTCAGAATATTAGAAATGTGCCAAGTAGTAATGCCTTACGCGGCGCACGTCTTTTCACTACCCAATAAGGGGAACTTGTAAATAATGCAGGCGACAATATAAATATAGCATTATGAGCTCACCTCCTCCAAGGAAGCATTTCCGGCTCTTTCACCGATACCATTGATAGTCACCTCTAATTGTCGTGCTCCTGCATAAGCACCCTAAAGGTAAGTCGAATTAGTAACATGATTAGATCAATGATAACATTATAACAAACAATCAAGTAAATACGAAAAAGGAATTACCGCTAATGTGTTGGCACTTGCAAGACCAAGATCATTTTGGCAATGAGTAGATATAATTGCATTTTCAATTCCAGGAGTGTTTGCTTTTATATCAGCAATTAATTTCCCGAATTCATGAGGGAGAGTGTACCCAACAGTGTCTGGGATGTTGAGAGTTGTCGCTCCAGCTTTTATTACTTCGTCTAGGATATGATACAGGAACTCTCGATTTGACCTGGATGACAAAGTGAAACCTATCATTCCACTGCCTTACACTTGTTCCATATAAAAAAATGTAAAAAGCAAGGTAGATCAGCATGGCTTAACAAGAATTGGCCAAGCTAAAATAATTCAAATACGCATGTTGTGCAAGCTTAAGTTCAATACGACCAAAAAATTTGGGTAGCCACCAACTACCACCTGTTTCTAATTTGCTAACAACCTTTTTTAGGATTATCACATCATTAGTCATCTTTTTCCGAGATATACTCCTCCTTTCAGAGCCATGGTAACCTTTGTACTTTGTAGTAAGCATGAACAAAATTTGCTTCAACCTCAACTCTGCGTCACTAAAATTTGGCCTCTTTGATTCAACATTATAGATAGGTATAGTTGATTTTGAGACAACACAGCATGTGAAATAGCATTTCGGAAACAGATTTCTCTAGATACAAAAATGCTGGACCTATTTTACAGCCATAACTAGAAAACTGGGCCTACAGAGAAACCAAATTTGTATTTATATATTTTTTTAATGAGAAAAGTTTGAATTGTACCTGCCGGCGTCCTCGGGGCTGAACTCGACATCGGGGCATCCAAGACCGCGCGCATAAGCAACCATCTCCCTTGCGATGGCCACCACCTGGTCGGGCGTCTTCCGCAGCTTGTGCTGCATGTGGATCTCGCTGGTAGCAATGAAGGTGTGGATGCGCGGCTTCCGTGCGTGGCGCACGGCCTCCCAGGCGGCGTCAATGTCCCTCTTGTTGCACCGCGAGAGGCCGCAGATGACGGGCACATGGCCATCCTCGCCGACGGGTGTGTTCCCCACCTCGATGGCGATGGATCGCACGGCATCAAGGTCATCCGGCGAGGACGCCGGGAAGCCCGCCTCGATGATGTCGACGCCGAGGCGGGCGAGCTGGCGCGCGACGACGAGCTTCTCCGCGCTGGTCATGGTGGCCCCCGGGGATTGCTCCCCGTCGCGGAGCGTGGTGTCGAAGATGCGAACGTAGTTGGGGTCGTCGATTCGGTCCGGTACGTACTCCGGCCGCCGCGGTGCCGCCAGGCACGCACGGACGGGGCGGAGTACGGCGGAGCGGGAGGCCCTAGGGTTCGCGGCGACGGCGGCGAGGCCATGGGAGAAGCGGCGGGGCTTGGCGGCGGGGAGGACGGAGAGGGCAGCGCGCCTGGCGAGGGGGGTGGAGGGGGCGGGGTTTAGGGAGGAGCAGCAGTAGGGTTTAGCGGAGGAGGACGCCATGGTCGGCGGCGGGGGTTTAGGGGGGGAAGCGGTGGAGATGCGGCGGTGTGGCGGCTGAGCTGGAGCCCGGAACCTGGATGACTATGCGAATGCGATGCAACAGGAGGTGTCAACCGGAGGAGGTTTTATGCTTATCCGGGCTGTGTATGATTCAGCTTTCGTAGCGGGCACGAACACGATTTGTGCGTGGTCCGCACTTGCCACTTGTGGTTTACTTCAACAACTTTGACACTCCCAAACGCTACTCCAATTTTGTCCCAAGTTCAGTTGGAATATGGCCAAAGTTCTCCCGTGAACTATACGTACTATACAGAGAGGAGAAAGGACGATCGCTGAGGCTTGATGTTAGGAGCCCTCCTAGCATGTACGCACATGGGCTTGCCCACTGGGCCGCTCATGGACCTGGCCTGCCCGCTACCCCATCGCTGCAGCTACAAGTACCAGATCCAAGGCAAGGAGCAAAACATCCAGTGGATCATGGCAACGGCACCAGGCGGCTCCCTTCTCCTACCTCGCGCTCCCTTCCTCCTTTTCTTCTTGTATCCGTTACCTGTACCTTGAATTGAAGCTTGTATCCCCTTATAAGCGAGCAATAGATCAAGAGAGAGACTAGTGGTACCTTACATCTGGTATACAGAGCCAGGCCATCACCCTTCTCCCTCAAATTTCCCCTAATTTTTCTACCACTCCCAATCCCTTCAATTCCACCGGCGAGGACGCCATGCCCACCGTCAAACCACCAGAGTGGGATGTCATGTCTGCCAAGGAGCAGTTATTGTGGTATCTCGAGAGATTATGCGCTCAGGCGAAGGAGGTGAGCTCAGTGTTGGGGATTGCACGGGTGGGTGACCCTCCCTTGGTCACCCCGCTTGTCGATCCGGCGGCCTTAACCACGACGCATGCCTCGTCGGCGCCCGTCCCCGACGTCCCCAGCTCCACCACCAAGGCCCAGGAGATCCACACGGTCGCCCATGATTCAGCCCCGGTGTGCATCGCGATGGTGCTCGTCACCTGTTTGACGGAGTGCTCGACCCAGGTCAAACACCATCAACATCGTCGACGAGGTCCATGACGCCACCACCGCTGTCCACCTCGAGCCCACAGTCGACCGCATCAACCAAGCAGCTGAGCAACTCACTCCAGTGCAGGCAACGGTCTCTAATGCTAAGGTCGTTTCTTCCGTGATGACCACCACCGATGTCGACCCCAAGGTCGGGTGCAGGAGCTCGATGCCCTCTCTGTCAACACCTCCACGCAAGTGATGAGCAAGCCGGATCACGGCGTCGTCCTCATCATCCCCAGCGAGTTCTCTACACCGATGCTGACCATGTGTTTGACAGATTACATCGTCCATGGCGACGACCCGGTGCAGCAAACTGCACACACAGAGCAGCAACCATAGCCACCACCTGTGCGAGTGAGGACCAGATACATTAGACACATGTTCAGGCCCGAGCCATGGTTGTCTTTCAAGTTTCATTCAGATACAAGCTATCAGGAGGAGCCATGTACAGGTATACATTGTAATCCACATGAATTCAGTTTTGGACTCGGTAGGAGGCTATACAGAGATGTGGTTTTCCCTCCGGTTTCTTGTTATGAGGTGATTTCCGTGGAAGAGCATTCCAGTTGTTTGTCAGTTGCACAGTTGCAATCTAGGCGTCCACCGGATCAGGCACCACCTGATGCTAAAGCATCAAATGAATTGGCATTTCTCAATGTGGATATCTCTGCAAGTTTAAGTGTTGATGCATGGTTCAGTCTACTGAGAGAATGCATAAGGAAACTCACAGTCTTCTACGTTATCTTCTGTGTGCAATCCACTTATGAACTTTGTGCTCAAGATGTACAACTGAAACTTGGGTTCAGTCAAAAAAATGTTCAGCTGAAGCTACAATATTTTGCCTGCGATTGTCGAGCAATGATGACGCGGTGCTTGGTTTTACTATCTCCTGCTGACATTGATTATGAGCTATGGCGTCGACCAGATCAAACTGAAAATTGTGGTGTGCTTGTGAAGTTCAGAATATTGCATATTTTTTAGCCCCTTCGGTCAACCTGCAACCATGGCCTTCCTACAGACTATCACCGATTTCTCTAGCTAGCATATCTGAACAATGGATATTTAACTATGACAAACATGTTGTTGTATCTATTATTCCATGGCATGAGAAATTGCACAGGGCCATGCATACCAGAAGAATGTCAGTGAATTGGTCATTTTTGAGTTGAAGGGAAATTAAGTTTCGATCTAAAGCGGACTATCTTGAGGAGCTATGTTCAATTTGGTCTGACTGCCACCATACTGCAATTATTTACTTGAGGAAAGAGGGAATTATGGAGGGAAAGATTCCCACCGTGCAAGCAACTTCTAAGGGAGTGGGGATGCATGCAATAAGAAGGCTCTGTGTCCCTAGACCACCTGCCAAACCTCCTGAAGATTATGACAAGTGCATCCTTCTTTTCGTAAGAATGCAGACTATCAATACAGCATCATCTCCAAGCTGTGTGCTGAACATGTTGAAGCCACTGTTTGAGATGCTACATCTGCCGTTGCAAGGAAACTGTGGTGCACTGTCTGATTCTTCATGTTGTCCTCTGCATTCACAGCTGGGTAGTTTTTCCTTGCTTAAATGGTATCTTCAAACTACATTCATTTCTCTAACGGCACCCCGGGGCCAGTGCAATTCTGAACATTTTCAACCTTGGATCACCAGCACAAAGGTACTATATTTCACATACTTTGCCGGCGGAAGTCGACATATGTCCCAGTTACATTTTCAAGCTTGTCATAGTGGCAGCCGGACAGTGACTCGGGAAACATCTTCTATTGGCACATTGCATACACATGCAGGTTGTATGGCCTATCTAAATCTTATCAACATTACTTTGAGGTGTTCAGAAGTAATACATGGGGTGCATGTGACCTACAAAAGCATACAGTCTTATATATCCTATATGGTGCAGCAACTAGTATGTGTTGAATACCTTACCTATGGTCTTGCCCACTGTGACATTTATTTGGAGAAGTTTGCACTGTTGTGGAAGATGAAGAAACATGGTTCAAATAATTCAGTTGTTACTGTCACTTCTTCCTTCAGACATAGCAGCAACATTTGTTCTGTTCAGAACGTCCTATTACTTGCCTGGGGGATTACTTGGAAGCTTGCTCTGTCCTAGCACATTTGAATCTGGATACTCATTGGTTCAAGGGGACAAGCATTGAGCCCAGTATAATTGATGTGTATCAAGCTGGACATCAGTCCTATGAGCTCCATTCAGATTATCATCTCTTTTATGCTATCGAATTGCTGGGGCCTCATTGGGGCATCTACCAGTTGGTAACACCTTGGGATCCTGGACGAATTGCATTGTGGCTGCTATTGAAATGGACTCGAAAAACTATTCTTCAAGGAGGGTGGGGTGTCATCGCTGCCACTGCCGGCTTCCTGCAAGGCTTCGTCGGCCACAACTGCCCCGACTTCGACAACGACAACTTTGGCATCTCATTTGATTGGGTCGCCACCGGCCACGGCCACCACAACCCTGTCATTCAAGTCAACCCCGATTTCGTCTACCACCACTACTTCAAGGTAGTCAAGGAACATCGAGTGCAGTGGGATCCAGGCGGCTCTTGGTGGTTTCGGCTTGGGGGCAAGCCGAATTTTAAGGAGGGGGGATGTTAGGAGCCTTCCTAGCATGTATGCACATGGGCTTGCCCACTGGGCCGCTCATGGACCTGACCCGCCCGCTACCCCATCGTTGCAGCTATAAGTACCAGATTGAAGACAAGGAGCAAAACATCCAGTGGATCACGGCAACGGCACCAGGCAGCTCCCTTCTCCTACCTCGCGCTCCCTTCCTCCTCTTCTTCTTGTATCCGTTACCTGTACCTCGAATTGAAGCTTGTATCCCCTTGTAAGCGAGCAATAGATCGAGAGAGAGACTAGTGGTACCTTACACTTGACGTGGCTTGCACTGAAACCAGCCGCTTGACAGAGATTGGCGGTGCTGGAGAGGAAAAGATAGAGGGGTAATGATAGATGATGTAAAAGTGGGTGTTGTATAAATTTACATCAGAAAAAAGTGTTTTTACCTCTTTAAAAATCTCTCAACTCAAACAGATGATGTATATTTAGTGATGTAAAAGTACAACTCTAAAGATGATACAAATATGAAGATGTAAAACCGGCCAACGAACGCGTGGCTATACAGCCACTTCACAACATGTTGAAATATTGGGGTGGGCCCATCTAACAATTTCTGAAAATCTCTAAGGGCCCTGTCGTGGTAATCTCACGGCAGATGCCAGGGGTGGCTTATCGTGGCTGTAGCCATGAGGACGTCGTCGGGTTCCGGAAGTGAGAATGAGCACGAGCTCAGGAGCACACGAGACGTACCCAGGTTCAGGACTCTCCGGAGAGATAATACCCATAGTCCTGCTAAGATGACTATGATCGGTAGTATACAAAGTTGCTTCTAGAGCTGTATGGCTAGAGGAGGAAGAAGGCTAGCGCTTTCCCTCTTCTCCTAGCTATGGTGTGTGTGTGGAATGAGGGCTAAACCCTTTGCATGGGTGAGCCCAAGGGGGTCTTATAGGCCAACCCCCCAGGGATACAATGGTAATACGGCCGGGTGTAGGACCCGGACGTCAGTGTCTAAGTTCGCCGGGTTCTCCGTCGGTTGCTGGGGCCTGCCTCTAGAGGGCCTCGCCGGCTACCGAGAATCCAGCCGACAGGTAGGGCCCGCCGCCTGTGGTGGCCATGTTGATTGCCTTTTGCTGTAGCATGGTCCTTGCTGAGAAGGGCCGCGTCAGGAGTCGTATGGCTACAGTCCCGCGTCGTGCGGGTAGGTGGCCACTTGGTCAGCGTGCACTGTAGCCACACCCCTCCGGGATTCGTGGGAGCAAGCGACACGGTATCCATGCCACGTCTCGTTGTCGTGGTGAGTGCAGACTCCGAGGAGGAGGAGGGGCCGGCTGCTGGGAGCCGGCCTGCCCC